GGTGAGGTGCATTCAACAGGGCATGTTGTCGCAGAGTCGCAAAGCTCCATGCGTTTTTCGTGGGGTGCAAGGGTGCTCTACAAGTAACCTTTTTAAAGCCGTTTTCAACGAGAGATGCTTGTCAAATTTATTTCAAAATCGGCGTGTTTGAGCTTGAATTGCACCAGTGGTTTTAATGGGCTGGCATTTTTTTCATGGTTAGGCATTGAATTCTTTTCATACATGTGTTTCCAGATTTGATTCGATTCTGGAGTATCAGTTATGCAACTTGAAAGCAACCATGAAGTTCAAGTCTTCGTCCAATTGCTTTTCCAATCCTATCGGAAAATTATGCATGCCAATTTTTCCCGCCGCAGTTTGGCCAAAGCTTTAGGCCTAGGCTGCGCGCTGCAACATGATGGCCTGGTTGTGGTACACACTGCCAACGTTGGCGTTGAGCACTGACCGTTTTGAGCAGTGTGGTGGTGCTTTCTTCCACGGCGCCCACCAGGTCCTCGAGCACCGTACAGTGCGCAAGCCGCCATTCTGCACAGATGGCCAAGGCGTGCCCATCTGGGCCCAAAGCCCCGAAGACCAAGATTTTTGTTGCCCTGCAGCTGCAAATTGGTGTGCCGGATGTGCACGAGTCAGCGCTGAAAGAGCCTTTGATTTTCATCTCAATTGTCTTTTTGTCATAATTGTCCCATTTGTACGAGTGCAAAGTTGGGGTTCAATTTGGCAGAAGCAAACATGAAACGGAGGAGATGGTTGTGCAGCATGCCTTGGGGGATTCGTGCTGGAGCGGGGCATTTGCCAGCCGTGTGCCTCATTTGAATTTTCAAAGCTCTTCTCGCTTTGTTTGCAAAATTTAATCGCGTTTGCGCACACTGGATTCGGCAGTTTTGGCACGCGCAGGCATGGATATCCCGGCGTGGGTTGACCCAAACGGCAGGAATTGTTTTGCATTGCAGACTTCGGAGTGCAGCAACACACGCAGCGGCCTTAGCAAATCCGGCATGTAAGGGGGCTTGGGACTGGGAGGTTTTGAATTTTGTTTCCAGCGCGTGTGGTAATTGGAGTTCAAGGCTTCAGGCCAGGCACTGCGAATTTGGAAGAGGCAAAAAAAATCCCAAACGCCACTTGCATCTTCAAAGCCCGACAACAAGTCCAATCACGGAATAGAATTGTTTTTTGACCCCGGACGCAATAGCTGGACCCACGGTCACAAACAACCATGTAGTTGTTTGCCAAACGGTTCTGCCGAAGGCGTCTTCATTCTTCAAAGGCACCGTTTTCAAATTCAGAATGAGCGGCCGTTGAGGTTTCAACGGCCTTTCCAGCAGAGCTGGTTGCTGCAAATGTGGTGGCGGATTGCGAACGGCCACAGCGTTCGGCTACTACGCGGAATCTTTGGTGTCTGGAGGCCAGCATCTTGCGGATAGTTTCTATAAAGCTTGCATGGTTACTACTGTTCAGCCACCTTTCCTGAGCGATGAATTATTCATGATGGATCTAGAGTCGTCGGCAGGCAAGGTGATTGGGTACCCCTTGCCGCGGACGGGCACCAGCTATTCGGTGGATGGCAATTGCCCGCTTCTCAAGTACAATTTGACCTATGGCATGCATGCTTGGGAATATTTTCTTGTGCTGCAGCCTGCCCCAAACCGAAACACCCAAGAAGTGGACCGCATCCCGACTTTGCCCGAATTTCAACAACCCAAAGGACTCTTGATGGCCTGTCGGGTGCGCTTAAGCTGGCCAGGGCCTTGGAGATCTTACGTTTCACTTTGAATCCGCAGCTGCAAGGTCGAAGGTTGTGAGACTGTGGGCTGTGGCCATGCCCTCCAGCAGTGTCTTGGTGGTGGGAGAAGTGTCCTGCATCAAAAATTTATGACTCTTCCTTTGGCTGCTGAGGAGCTTCCACGCAAAGTGCACTGTCACGGCCCACCAGGCCTGCCATTCACGCGTTACAGGTCTGTCAGGACAGGTATTGCAGTGGAAACCAGAGCAGGTTCTCTGGTAGAGGTACCCAGACTTCGTTGCAGTCCAATTCAGGGTTTGCAGTCCTTTCCCCCACTTATTGTCAGCTATTGTGCAGGACGGCTTCAACGCTTCTGCGCCTTTGCAGATCGCAGGCCAGTTGTCTGAAGGAAAGGGTGTTTGAGCGAATTGCATCTCACCATCTTCCGGGCAAAACTCTTCTGCACCTTGTTTCCAGTTCAAGTTTGGAACCACGGGGGTCTTCGTATACTTGCTATATACCCTACCTATATGTACCCTTCGGGTTTTCGGGTCCCTAGAATCCCCCTAAAAGGCCTGAAGGTCCAGAATGCCTGCAATAGAGGCCTATGCTCCTAACCTTATTAACCCAACCCACGAGCCGTGGTCTACTGGGGCGAAGCTTGGACTACTGGGGCGATGAAAGAAATTGAATTAGAATTATTCACACCCTTGGACGTATGGGGCGAGGCTTGGACTAACGAGAACGAATTCAGGCGTGCGCAAATTGGGGGGTTCAGGGTAACCTTAGAATCACTTAACTAGTGCTGATAATGATCGCAGTTGCTGTTCGTGTGGTTGCGGTCGTTTTGGAGTGGGGCACACAGCTGGCGTAGAGTAGTAGTATGTGCCCATTTGATTAGTGCGTGAGTTTGAGGTATGCGCTTGGCAGAGATGATAGTTAAGAATGGCAACTGCATGCTGCCGATGATCTTGGGGTGGGCCCGCATCCTCTGTATCATTTTTCTTTACCTCGATCACTCAGCCCCTCATGTGGGTGGGTCAGAGAGTGGAGTGAGGAGAGGGGGGCTGTCCAGGTGGTTGCTTCACCCCGGCATTATCATGCTTAGATATGTTTAGCATTCTTGCAGTGGGGTGCCTGACGACTGAAAAATATACAGCATGGGCTGCTCTGCTGCAGACTTTGGTCAGGTTCGCTCTTGGCCTACAGCAGCTCCGTGCTGGTGGTCCCACCACAGGGCCGGAACTTCTCAGCAAGGTATGGCAGGCCGCGGGAGCAAATAGGGTTTGTTGGGTTGCAGCGTGGAGGGTTAGCGTCTACTGGGGCTGGGTCGTCAGGAGGTTCCAGTTTCATGCACGCCTTCCTAGCTCACAGCCTCCAACCCGTACAAGTCAGCAAGACCCATAGCTGAGGACCCCGTTGACAAGCTGGACGCCGCGTTTGCGCTGTGTACCGGACACGGTGCAGAGACTCCTGGAGCAGCCCTGCATTGATTCCGTGACTATGATAAGAGGTATGCACCATGATCACAATCAACGTCGGAAAAGATATTTGCAGCAACAGGGGTAGTAGCAGATAGCGGCATGGGCGCAACGCTTAAGTTTGCAGCAGGGCAAGTTTCAGTCTTGGGAGAAGCAAAGAAGGGTGGTTGGTGTGATGGTGTCAATTACAAGCTTGCCGTCCCCTAGATCTTCCTCCCTCACACCATTTATCGAATACGTTGCAAGATCCCTCTGAATGCCCCTGCTTTTATCATTGGGACATTTTTCTGTTTTTTGCAATATCGAGCCTGCAGTTCATCCAGGAGTTTGCGAGCGGCCTTGACATCCGCGCGAAGGCCAACGCCTCCGAGACACTGCAGGCCGTAGCTCCAGTGTTTCCGTGTTTCTGAGGAGCCGCACGTTGCTCTAAACACATTTATGCAGACCAAGTCCAAGTCAGCGATGCTTGTATTCCAAGTCCGTGGGCTGTCTGCGTGTTCAGACAGTTAAACACCCCCAGACATGAATCTGGAGTAAAGCAGGATAGAAGAAACTCTGACTGCACCTCTCCCATCCACACATCTGGGAGCACATCCTTCTAAGGCCTGAATTCAAACTTTGGAAATGTGCGTCATCAGCAGTTGTACAGTAGCAATGCAGTAGAATCAAGCAGACTGGTCACAATCATGTTCGGAACTGAGTACAGCTGCCCCATATTCAGTGCCTGCAGATAAGGTTAGATTGTTGGGGCTACAGGGTCTTGGAATGAGAGGCGACTAGAGGTAGAGCGAACGATCCCTGGCGGAAGGGTGCTGGCGTCACGGGCCTTCCTTTGTCTGGACTCCCCGCAGCCCCAGGAGGCTTGTGCCAGGCCTGGTGGGAAACAGGCGTGAATTAGACCACAAAGCTAAATGTGAGAGTCATACACAAAATCTGCATACATCATGGAGGTACTAGTACCCCATGATATTATTACTCGCAAGCTCCAAACCAGTTTGCTGCTTGATCTCCAAGTGCAAGTTGTTTACAGAGCATATTATTCCACGAAGCCACAAGTACCAAAGATCCGCTGTCAGGCCCGTATGCATGCATGAGACTCCATGCACTACCCCGTCATGAGCGCTTTCCGCTTGAGCCACTCACATTCTCTTTGATCACGCTGTGGGGGAGTTCGTCGCGAACACTCTGCAAGGTTTCCTTCCCCGCACCTGTGCCAAATGCATGATGAGCCCTGCTACTGTGGATAGGTCTCTGCTCTGACCTCAGATGGATGGGAGGCCTTGACCACGCAGGCCGGGATTCAGGGTTTACTCGCAAGCTCTTGTGGGGACACTATGCGGAACTCCTCCTCCTTTTTGTTTTGGTGACGGCGACCGGAATGACAACGCACGACGACACACGAAGACGAAGATTAGAACAAACTACTGCCCGGCCCCCATACAAGCAGCTTTCCCTCAGCAAGATTCCGGCCCCTCATGCCGCAACAGTTTATGTGCCCACCAACGAATTGGGTAGCAATACTTGCATACGACTACACGATCGAAGCAGTGAGTTAGAATCTGATGGTGCAAGCGCTTGTTGGCCTGCTGATGCGACTCAGCCACTTACTGTCACACAGAAGATGCGGTTTCAATGTAAATGATGCTCTCTAAGCACACTGCTGAGCTTGGGTGAAAGGTGCTCGTGATTGCGCCTGAGCTGTGGACCGGGATCTCTTTTGGGCTCTTGACAGTGCCGCTGCGTTTTAATCAGAAGCAGCTTGTACATTGGGCTACCCTCCAGCACTATGTCTGCTGAAGGTCCGCAACGGTGGGACGGACTGCCCCTGCCCTCACAGCCCGTGATAGCGCCAGCGGAAGCAACAAAGAGCCGCCCTCCCGGTTCTCTGCCACCTGCGATGGCAGTGCTGGTGCCTTGGCCACTCTGCACAGCTTGTTTCCATGAAACCCACAGCCTAACAGCCTAACAGCCTGACAGCCTGACGTGTACCAGGAGACTCACTGCAGGTCTCCTTTGACGTGCGGACGGGACAGGCTTCGGTGAACGGCTACAGCCTCTTCTCGCTGGACCTCTCGGATGGCACCCTCATTGTGGCGCCGGAGTCAAACCTCTCCAACATCTTTGACGAGCTCCAAGACAAGCAGCAGCGGGCACACATCGACTTCGCATGCACCATCTGGGGCCACTATGAGTGGCAAGTGGGTGAAGCTGTAGTGCCTGTCAAAGGCCAGATCACCATCCGTGTAGAGGACGACGTTTGTTGGAAGCCGGTGGCGTGGGGGGACACATTGTGGTACAGGCCTGAAGAGTCAATTTTCGACGTCCAGTCACAAGCCCAGTGCCGCACGGCGTGCCGCAGAGCTCCGAATTGTGCTTTGTACTTCTACTACATTGGAAATTTGGAGTGTGCTTTCGTGGCGCCATGCGGCTGGGGGGCAGCCGTGGGCTGCGATCCGTATGATGAGGGACAGGGGTATGTCATAATTGAAAAGATTGCCAACTGCAGCCAGGGGAGCAGTTGTTTGGTCTTCTCAGGCACTGACCCAGTCTGGCTGTACGCTGGCGTCTACTGCCCGCTCTCCCTATCGCTGAACCCAGAAACTGGCCAGAAAACGGGCTATGTCTACCACAAGACTGGCCTAACCGAAGAAGCTTCCTTTTACCTGCAGCCGGCGGAGGCAGTGGAGGGTTTACAAGGGTCTCCATGCAGTACAGGGTCAGGCCCTCAGAGTCTTCAAGTCGTCAGTGGCACTGAAGTCTACGCCAACTTGAGTCAGTCAAACTCAATACGCTCGAGGTGGGATGTGTATTTCAGTTATATTTATTGCCATCGTTTGGCAGGAAGGGAAAGGCTTCGGGCAGCAGCTTCATAGCCCACAGATTCTTTGATATTTGGCTTTCTGTTCTGCATGGTCTTGAGCTTTGCCGCGAGATTTTGCCTGAAACGGTCACCTCTCACATGGCAAGAGGGCCTAGATTAATGTTGCCAGCCATGGGTTTCGCTAGCCAGCTCACGCTGACAGCAACAGCTCCAGTTGAAGAAGAAAGAAACGCGCGGTTGTTGAGCAGGGGTGCAAGGATGTTGATTGGGTTTGTTGGTGATTAACGGCGGCTTTGGCGGGTTGCTGAATGGGGATGGGAGTTGTGTGCGACTGTGTATGTGTGTGCTTGCTTCTGGGTCTGAGAAATCGCGATCCCCTTGCCATCACCTGTGACTGTCGTCCATGAGGTGAGATGTTGAACATTTCTTAGTGCCGGTCAGTGTTTGCATCATTGCTTCTGTTGTGATGGCCTGTCTTTCTTTCCCGACACCCTTGCCCCAGGTTAACACCAGGCTTGCACTTTGTACTCTCTGAGGCCTATTTGTTTTTGTGCGCCCTTCGTGTGTCAGCTCTACCAGCCTTGCGGGTCTATGTCAGCATAATCATTCATTGGTCGTGTTTTTTGTTATGTGAGAGCTTCTTTGTTCTGATGCTGGTAGCGCTGTCATGTTGAACGATCGTGCTGCTGCTTGTTGCGAATGTCGTCCTCATGCGTACGGGGACTCTTCCAGTGCAGCCTTGTCTAGGATTGGCCCGGCGATTGCAACTTTGCAGATGCCCATCGTGTTGAGCCGTAGACTTGTTCTTGCTATTCTTCTTCAGGTTATCACAGTGTTCATCTCTATCGTCGCCATCGAATCCTTACTACTAACGTTGAACCTGGCGACAAGATGCCGAAGGCTGTAATGCAGAACCCATGTCGGGAAGCCTTAGAAAGCAGGTAGATCTAAAACGTTTGGGCGAGTTTGCCTTGGAGAGTTAGAATAAAGCCGGCTAATGCTTTATCCGTGGCTTCCAAGCTCAACCGGCACTCAGGTCCTTAATCCTCACGGCGCCCAATCAGTCCTGGGATTTCAACAACCTCACAGCCCGCACCGTGGAGCTTTACGGCCACCAGCTGGCGTGCCTCTCACTGGCAAGCGGCCCTCTGGTCACCGGCGTCTTTGACGCAGGGCGCCAAAGTCTCCAGGTTTCTCTGTTAAGCAATTCTAGCATCGGCCTCGGCCAGGGCCTCCAGTTGTCCCTTGAGAGTCAAAACTGCGGCCTCAGCGGCCTGAACCTTTCCGTGGACCACAAAGATACCCTCGTGTCCAGCTCTGAGGAGGCGATCCTTATCGACGATCCGACCACCTCGGTTGTAGACGACTTCAGCTTGCACCCATGCGATTGCTTCCCGGAGTCTTGGAGCTCTGCGCCGGTTGCAAGCCAGAGTTTGAAGCAAGTGCCGCCTGGCAGCTACAACATCTTCACGCCACTTTCGGTGCAAATCCTGCAGGGTGGAGCCATGTGCCCGCAAAAGTTTCTGCAGGCCATCCAGTACGGCTCATCTGACCTGAGCTCCTGTGAAGCCAAGTGCGAAGCGGAGAAGTGCAGCTTCTTTTGGGCCGGGAGTCTGCATGGAGGTAAGCAGTGTAGACTCTACAGCAATTGTGCTGTTCTGGTGCAGCTGGAGAATGCCCAGGCAGTGGACAAACACTTTCAATTGTTTTATCATTTTCGCCCCAGTTGCCCCACACATCGAATGGATCTGTCAACTTTTCAGGGCTTGAGCCAGTAGGGGCAGGTCCCAGTCCAACTTCTGATTTTCCGGCCGAGGCGCTTAAGCGATTGAGTATTAAGCGAGTGAAGGAAACCCAGGTTGCAGCAACCTATCCCCTGACAACAGCTTTCACAAAAAACTGTTGACCTCGTGCCTTGGTGCAGGGTACACTGATGGCTGCGCCTTCACTCGGACAGAAGTATTGCTACCGGGCAGACCCTGAGAAATGCTTCGGGGAGCGTGTGCGCCGCGACTTCCTTGGAGCTGAGACAGGGGAACCACAGCCGCCGCATGGTGGCTGTCCATATGTGGAGCTGGCAAAGCAGTGCGACTGGCTACTGATGCTTGGCGGGCCAGTGCAGAAATGTTACCGCTGTGAGTATGCCGTGCTGGAGGATGGAAATGATAGCTGGAAGCACAGGCGTCCGCTTCCCTCCACCTTTCCATCAGGCCAGCTGCTGCGCATCAAGTGCTGGGCAGAGCAATATGCTCCTGTCACGCCAGCCACGTTACCAGGTAAAGCTGAGGGTGAATACACAGCGTCATGCGCTGCAGGTAGCTGGTTTGGTCCCAGCGGAACACTGAGTGAGTTTGCGTGTGGGGCTTGCATCCAGCTGGTGCAGCATGTGTACTTGGCTTACCAGTCACAACACCGCCAGGACATTCATGTTGACAGCCTGCTAGCCCCTTCAGTAGCACAAGCATCAAACGATCTTGTCGCAGGAGCTCTACTTCAGCCCCAGTGTCGTCATGCAGGTCCTTAGCGACAATCAAGTTCCCATGACGATTGTTGTCGACAACGCAGTGCCGATGGCGACAGTCAGCCGTGCAGATCAGTGCGCAGTTTACCAAGCCTATGATGGCGGATGCTGGGCCAGCCTCCTGGTCAGAGTTGTGAATCTACAGGGTTGCCCGCTCGATGCTGTCCACCATTACCTGTGCGCCGCACCGGTTGCCCCTTCCGATCCAGTTTGCATCTGGCGCGAAAAGGATTATGCAGAGCCATACTTAGTGCTTGGGAAGTTGCCTGAGGGCCGCTGCCCAGAATGGTTCCCCAGTGAGTTGGACAAGCCGTGCAGCAGCACTTCTTCAGAGGGACAGCCAGACATTTCTGAGGTTGACACTAGCTTACTCCAGATCCGAAACAGGAAGTCGAAGAACAATGCAATGTGTGTTTACAATCATGATTCCTTCTTAACTGCGCAGCCGCCGAACAGTGTGGACTACAATACTTACCAGCTGAGCTTTGCGAGGTCTGACCATTGTCTGGAAGTGGTGAAAGACGAAAGCACGCTGCGGGGGTCGCTGTCATTGCGTGGCGGCAAGTGCGTGGAGCCTATGTCTCGAAACCAGACCTTCAGCGTGCAAATGCTGAGAGAGGTGTTGCAGCCATGGCTGGAATTGAAAATTAATTTCAGCACGTCCAGCACCTGCACCTCAGACAACTGGCCACGATGTCAAGTAAGTACTGCCTGCCAGGGAGGGGCTATATCCTCCGTCAGCTTGTTGGGAAGCTTCTCAGCAAATCACAGCTGCAGTTCCACCCCAATCAAGGGCGGCCATGAGAGCAGCTGCAGTTTGCAATCAGGCCAGTGGCATCTGAGGTGTCCAGAAGGAATGTTGCTGAGTTCCTTCTCTTATATGGCTTCAGAGACCTTTAAGTACGTTTGTGTGGAAGCCACCGCCCTGGGATCCTGCCAGAATGTTGCCCTCAGCACAGATGGCCTGGAAGTACAATGCCCAGAGAAGACCGCCCTCCAGTCTCTGAGCATCAAGCAAGGCCTGTCAAAGGAAAGTTTTACGCAGCACGAAACACGTCAGACACGAACTGAAGTCAGGCCAAAACGGCTGGAGCCTTCAGCCAAGGCCTGGACCTCAGAGATGCGAAAGGAAGCAACTTTGCTCGGAACGTGAGAGCATGTGAGAGCATGTGAGAGCTAAGGTGCTGCTTTGCAGCTTCTTTGGCACCATGGCTGAAGCTGAAGCTTCGCTTTTCTATACCTCTTTTCTCGTTTTGTTGCTGAGGTACTGAGCCTGCCTCGTGGAGCTGCAAACCACACGAAGCGGCTGCAGCTGTGGGAGGGTATGTACTGCCCAAGCCTGCGGGACACAAGCGGGAGGCTCCAGTACAGGCAGCAAAGCTCCTTCCGGTCAACAGGAGAAGAGCTCAACGGCAACCTCTTCTTCAATCTTTCATCTGGACAGTGGTGCTTGTTCAATGGCACTGGGCATGTAGGTTGCGTCGACAGCGAGGCTGAAGAGCCCACCTTCAGTGAAGACGGGAACAGGCCGAATCTCTGGGCGGAACTTTGGGACCAAGGAAAAGCGACGCTACAACAATGGGAGGCTGTTGCAGTCATGGCCTTGGTTGGTGCCGGTTGTTGCTTTTCTGTTCTGGCGCTGCCTGGTTGTCTCTGCCGGGTGAAAGGTTTCGCTTAATGCTGGTAGTACGGGAAACACACCGAGACACAGCCATGTCAGGTCACGGTCTTTGATGGGCAGTTCGGAGAAACTGTGTTGACCTCAGGCCGAGAATCAAAAGATGCTTGAAATCCATCAGTAACATTGCAAGTGAGCTTCTCCTGAGCTTCTTGCAGGGACTTCAAGCAAAGGGCGCCGAGCGAAGCCTCAGCTCGTGAAGTTCCATGCTGTAAAGCCGACGGTGCCCGTGGAGTGCAAGGAGCCAGTCCCGAACTGGGACTCAGTTGGGAAGACGCTCAATCCAGAGAACCCCTGCTACTACGTCACAGGCACACTTTAAATGGGCAATGTAGCTACGAGCTAACTTTTTAGATCTTCTTGGATTGTCGCATAGCAGAAAATGCATAGGGCTGGCAGTAAAGATTTTCAGATTCAAGGCGACCATGGGTATGCACAGATGCAAAGCTTGAAGTGCTTGAAAATTACTACTGTACTACGGTTCGGGTCCTTCATGCATCACACTTGAGTTTAGCTGTTTCAGTCTGCAAGCCTCAAAGTAGCTCCAAACCAACGCACTCATACCCCTGCAACCTTTTTCTTCCTATTTCGATGTATCTATTCTCATTATCTTCTTAAATCTGCTCTGGCTCTGACCTTCTATCGTCTGGTACCCGTCCTTGTCTGTTCCGAGTATCTTTCTGCACGTGTGCTTAGCCTTTCTTATACCGTGCTCATGCTAGCAATGAATTGCTGTTGCGCATCTCATACAGGCAGCTTGCTGTACGTTGCTTGCTCTCCTGCAGAGACCGCAGTGGCTGTCAAGGCTTACTCATGCACCCTCAAGATAGTTTGGTAGCTTCCCATGCTCAGGCAACAATTCAAAGAGAAGGTTGCAGGGAAGGACGTATTAGTTATTCAAGCGAGATCTTCCCAAGCTCTGCCAGGCCAGAAGGCTGCAAGCTACAACTATTACAAACTTGGCTCCAGCAGTGGTATGCCATCATTCAGCCCTCAAGGCTATGCGAACTGGTGGGGCAGCACAGGGTCAGACATCTTCAACGGCCAGGGTGCCTTGGCCAAAAACACAATCGTAATTCCCACCATCCACACCCTTTTTCTTTGATCCACCATTGCCTCGATTTGGTCACTGACACCAATGCCCAGAAGTATGCTGACATGGTGTGCGCGATTTCAAGTTGAAGCCCGTCTTCTGATTTTCGAGGCCATGCAGCACACATACACGAGGCATGACGAGGCGAGCCCAACGGCAGAACGTTTCCTTAGAAGAGCTCAATTGTAGCAATGAAGTTTGTTGGAGTTCCGCTGAGTGCCAAATTCGGTTTTGTGTTGAATGGCCATTTTCTTTTCAGTCACAGCTGCTTTGTGGGCTTGGTAGCACCAACATTTTTTGCACCTTTTTTTCTTTTGTTTTTTTTTGTCTTTCCTGTTGCCCGCAAATCCCAAGAAGCCGCACAGCATAGCACTGATATGAAGCAGCACTTAGATGCCAGCCTAAGCCCTCAATAGTTGCAATGTCTAGAAACCCGATTTCATCCGATTTCAAGCATGTGCGTTCTTTGATCTATTTGGGGCTGATTCGCATGCTTTTGCACAAAGTCTGTGACTTTCTGCTTGCTACAGAAAATGCAAGCGTCATTATCCAGAGTGTAGTCCAGCAAGCTAACCAGCAGGGCAAAACCACTCAGGTGTGAAGTGCAACACGCCTGAATTTTCAACCGGAAGTCCAAAGCATGTCCACCTCGGGGTGGACCGTGAGCGAACGATCCTATTTGGAGATGTTTTGCAGACAGGCCTCAGTGTTGACACCCATATCCTGTCCTGACTTAGGTGGTGCTGGGTTCAGCTACAACAACATCGCAGGCTGCTGGAAGCGGGAACAGGAAAGAGCCAAAGTTCTGGAGAACCAGGCACTTTGCTGCTTTGTGTTTGAGGGTCTTGCAGTTGCAGGGCTCAGTAGTTTCAGTTGGCGCGCGCCCCCGATCCCTAACCCTGCAAACGCAAGCTGGCAATCATAGATTCCCTTAAGCTCCGCAAAGAAGCAGAGGGCACCAAACCTGGAAGCTGCACCTTGTGATCACCTGAGGCCCGTGAATCCACATGCCCTTAAAACGATTGGGAGGGTGCCCCAAACACGTGACACGAAATCCAGTACTTGTTCATGTTATGCATGAGTCTGAAGCTCAATGCGTAGCTGAGGTGGACACCAACAACCAGTGGACCAGTGGTCTTAAAACCACATCAGACCTCGCGAGCATTCCCTGTCTTGCCGTTCCAGATGCAGCCTTGGCACCATTTGGCGTGGGGCCTGTGGACAAGTTTGCAGGGGTATGCAAGGGTGCGATACAGGCCACGACAGACTCAGCCCTGGACATCTACAAGGCTGCCTTGGACAGCTACAAAAGCAACAAAGCGAAGGATTTGCAGTTGGCCTGTGATTTACGTAACGTACTTACACAATCTTACACAGCCTATGTAACTTGTTACAAAGCGTCCCAATGGAAGGAGGGCTTTACAGACTGCAGCGGTGACCATGCTGCTCTGGCGCGGATTTGGTGCGACCTGCACTGCGTCAAGGAGGCAGTCGTCAACGGAGACCAGGCGATTCTGGCATCCTTGCAGGAGGCCGAAACAAGAGCAGCAGATGTTTTAGTGCTTAGATGATACACAACAAAGTTGCGAATGGCTGAAGAGGAAAATCAATGGACAACAATTATCCCGGTAGAGCTGCACTGAACATGTAACGCAGGCAGTCAGCGTCCTTGACACAAACTTCGAGCGTCTCCTGGATTACTACACCGGCCTTGTCACAGACAAGGTGGATGGGCAGCACGAGCCTGAGCAAGGCGAGAAAGTTGAAAAAGCTCGGAGCGGTCAGGACGCGACGTGGCTGCCAATGACATTAAAGGAGGGTCGCCAGTGTCGAGAATCAACGTGAACAGCAAGTGCTGTAGCTTGATAGTGCTCGAGGCCAGATAGCTCCAAATATCCCCAAATTGACGACCACAAGACTGCCGAGGTGAAGTCTGCCATCATGTCCAAACTACTCGGAGTGCAACGCCTCACTGAAACGGTCCCGCTCACTCAAGCTGGCCTGGCGGCCTCGGAGCGTCTGCTTGAGCGCTGCTCCCTTTGCACTACACCACTACAATCCACTACAGTAGTACTTCAGATTCCAGGTTACATTACTTTTGCACGTCTTGTTTCGGTTACCCGCACTCAGGATTCCTACGCGATCTCCGCAACCGCTCCAATGCCCAGGAGGTGGCTGAAGACGTGGAGCAGCTGCACGCTGCCATGTTTCACGCTCCTTGGGCCAGGTGGATGCAGGTGGCTACGTTTGGATGCTAGGAAGATGTCACATGCTGGTTCCTGTTCCTGTGGTTGATGTGATTCTGGCCGCGTCTTTGATGATTAGGTGGGCATTTCTTGAAACAGGCAGGGCCCCTGCGAATTTCAAATAGTAGAATTTTTTTGTACAGACAGACCCCAAAAGCGACCGAGAAGGTACAACTTCGGGTAATCGGTCAAGCATGCTCGTGCTGATGGATTATGATGTCACTAGAGATGCCGGGAATTGAGAAAGCCCAGGTCACCCGGAGCACCACCCTCAGTGCCAGTGCAGCTGTGGCAGCCAACGTCGGCAGGGCTGCAGCCGGGATGCAGGAGCTGGCGCGCAGCAGGACTTTGGATGAGTCGTAGAGCCCACAGTTTCAGTCCTCATCAGGATCCGAAGAGCTTTTGCTGGGCTTACTGGAGTATTCCACAGCTTGTCTTGCAGGAGATTGAACCACACAAAGGTACTTCTGGTAGAGCCAGCAGCTTGGTACTGGAGCCCTCGACTCCAAGTCTCATTCCCCTCATGATAGCGGACATGAGAAAGGTGCCAGCCATGCGGCATGGCTTCATTTTCGCACGCTCGCAAAAGCCCACAAGCCCCTAATCGAGAATGCATGGAGATATTTTTCTATTTGACAGGAGTCACCTGCTGGGTGTGTATTCACATCACGGCTCGCTCGCCAGGACATTGCTACTGATTATTGAGATTGCTATCATTATTAGTATTAGCAGTGCTAGAGGGCTAGTACCACTGGTACAAGGACGCGTGCTCGTACTGGTACTAGTGCTAGCGAGCAGATGTTGTAGAAAACCTGCAAGGAATGTGAGGCCTGCTGATTTCATGTTGGTCATATTGAAAGGTAGCCAAAGTGTGCTGAGCATGCGAAAATGGCATTCGATGCGCTCGGGATTCGCGGCAAGGGTGACATGTGCTTAAAGTTGTAAATGCTGAACACATCCACGTGCCATGAGTGAGAGTGCCGTAAATGCTTCCTGCCGGACAAGCACAGGAAGCCGAAAAAAAAAGGATTCACCAGCTTCAGATTCGGATTCTGAAGCATCTTCGGATTTTCTGGAAGTGCATGGACTCTGGGGAAGACTCAATGCCAAAAACATTTTAACCTTGGGAGGAACAGATCTGAAGTTTCCGCAGTCTGTAAGCCACACCCCAAAGCTCTGTTCCCAAAATATCTGCTGGTGTGTGGACCTTTCGTTGATCTTTCAATGGCTTTTCCAGGCAGCGCCAGCATCGCCTGGTGTCTGCTGCGCAGGCGCAAAGCACTCAGCTGCTGCTGGAAGCAGGAGATACTCTGGAGCACAACAGGTAGGAATCATTGAGCTATCCTCTGAAGGGCATCTCTCAGATTGCTTCCTGGTGATTGTTGGACTTCGAAGCTTTGATGGCATGCTGGTTTGGGCTTCGACTGTTTCCGACTGTAGTGGTAGGACAGCAAGCAAGAATACACAAGTAACATAATGGCTCCTCTGCGTGCACCCTTGTTGTCTTGATGCACGCTTGTAATCTCCGAATCAGTATTCCTGATCCCTGAACTGGACTGTCCACTATAGTTGCTTCTCCGTGCCCTTGCCTGATTTGCTGCTGGCCGTGCCAGATCCTTGTAAGCCTTGTCTCAAATCTCCGAAGCCATCAGCTTCAGAGAAATTGAGCCTGCGGTTCTGAAAGCAATAGGAGAGGGAGTCAGCCAGGAGGCCTGGAAGAGGGAGCAGATGGAGTTTGGCAAGTCCTTCTTCAATTGGTCTTGACCTCAGAGTGCTTGTCTCCGGCTAATGCGCAAAGAAGCCGTCAAATGCCTCACACTCTCTAAAATCCTCAAAGCCTGAAGCCTGCATTGCTGACTGTTGGGGAGAGCAGTATGTGGGGTCCTGCGAGCAGAAGGCTAGGTCTGCAGCCAGAAGTTTGCACCAATTTGGGGAAGGACTCAACCTGGTGGGCCTTACGCGCTGCTTTCGACAAGTACTTGGAGAAGGTGCCGGAATCAAACCTCAGATCCTGCCACAGATCCATACCACGAAGAATTATTCACGCGAACTGTGTCATGTGTTTGGATTGCTTTGGACTAGCTGGATGCTTCCGTCTGAATCGGGTACTTGGATTTAGACAGTAGCATCCACAAAGTCATTGTCGGTCACTCGAAATCTTGGACCCGAATCTCCAGCGTCTTCAGACAGAAGGATCAGACAAGCACTTTTCGCTTCTGGGGCCATTGGCCCACATATGTATTTTTGTTGAGGGATGTCCATTTTCTTTGCCCAATCTTGTTCCTTCATAAAGGAAACCGTTACCATATTAGTCACATTGCATAAAGACAATTCTGAGTTGTGGTTCACACAGGTATTGGTCCAGCTTATGTGATCGCACACTTTACTTCAAGATGAGTGAAGAAATGTTGACCCCTCAACGGGCACTTGAGTCTCTTGGCTTGAACTGCTCTGGCTAGGAACCCCAAACAGATACGCAAAATGGTTGAGCCAAACCGCAAGAGACAAGCTTCGAAGGGCCGCATCCATCGCAGGGCCACCTCACTGGTAGGACCAGCTGTGACTGTGTGTTAGTGCCACGTGAGGCCAAAAGCTACTCGTCCACTTACATGTCCTCAGCAAAGATCCTGCAGGACCAGTGCTGAGTTCGGGGCTGAACTCATGAAAGCCTCATCACAGTGCGTGCAGTATGCCTGTTGTGGAGCATGCTGAAAATTCCGTGACACCGTGGAAAAGCGTTTTGCCCTTTGGTTTTGGTGGTGCACGTGGTTTTTGCTTTCCTGCTGTTCTGAGATCCCGTCTGAATCTTAAACCACATTCCAAAAGGCCTCTCAACTTGCTGCAGGATTACTTGGCCTGCGCGACTGAGTTCTGGCCAGTCCGAGAGGCTTATGGCCAACTGGTACAGTCCGAAGTCAAAGCGGACAAGGCTTTCAAACCATCCTAATCTTTTTTAAATAGCTTCTTTCTCAAGCCGCATTTTGTGCTTCTTGGAGAACTTCAATAGAGACTGGCTTGACGTGTAAGTTCTTGGGATCCCATACCATGACGTCGACCATGGCGGCTTTTGTCTTTCTTGTTCCGGAGGCCCTGCGTGAGGCGTGGTCCGAGATGCTTCCCTTAGCGGGGCTGCTTGTGTCCAAGCTTTCGGACTCGAACGCCTTGGTGAAGCTCAGAGCCATGGCGCACACATTGCAACGTCTTGGCTGCTTCTGGTTCTTAAGTCCAGCTATTCAAGCTCTTTCATCTATAGAACCCTACCAGCAAGGCCTCCACGATGCCAAGCGTCTCCTAGACCTGCCGTTCCTCCTCGTTGGTGAAAGCCAAGGGTTGCCGAAGCTTTGTTCTGGCTTGGACATGACCATAGGCGTGGCTGCTGAAACCTTTTTCTTCCTCAGAGACTTGGGGCGCTCTAGTCTGTTTCGGTTTGCTGCTCACTGCTTGCAATCCTTCAAAGAGACATTCTCGCCTTCAAACGCCCAACCCAAGATGGATGGGGGCGTACTGCCAATCGTAATTGCAGGCCGGGCCTTGAACCGCAGCTTGGAAGAGGGCTTGACGGGTCAAACCACGCAGCAGCTGACCACCATGTTCTCTGAGCTGACCCTTGGCTAGCATGGATTTCTATAACGATCTCCTGGTAGCACAACTTGATAAGGGCCGCGAGAAGGTCAGGCAAAGGTTGAGGGCAGCTTCTAATGTTGCCACCTTCCAGGATCCTGCTGAAGCATCGCAACCCTGACCTTGAGAACCTGGACGTCTTAGAAGAGAGTTTGCGGCGTGCAGCTGATTATTTAAAGCAAAGCCTGGTCACCCGAAGTCTGTTGCATGAGCAGATGGTGAAGCAGGTTCGCACAAAGTTCTGCGATCACATTCAGAGGGCCTGAGAAAGCGTCGAACTGGACATGTCCGTACATATGCAGTGCAATTGTGCTAGCAGTATCCGTTTGTAGTGATAATGACATTCATGCATTATTTAGTGGTAGTAGTCGTCGTAGTCGTCGTCGTCGTCGTCGTCGTCGTCGTCGTCGTCGTCGTCGTCGTAGCGGTAGAGGTAGAAGAAGAAGCAGTAGAATAAGTAGAAGAAGTAGTAGGAGTAGGGGTAGTAGGAGTAGTAGGAGTAGTAGGAGTAGGGGAGGAGGAGGAAGCGGCGGAGGAGAAGCAGTAGAAGTGCTACTACTTGAGACTACTTCTATTTCTAATACTACAAGTGCTGGTACTGCTGCTGCTTCTACCAAGACGACTATTGCTAATACTGGCACTTGTAGCAGATCCATTGGTAGGTTGAAAAGCAAGAGTGCGAAAGTGGCTTCCCTTCAGTACGGGAGTTCGAATTTTGAGCTTTTGGCTTCGCTTGCCCCGGTTGAAAGCTGTATTGAGCGGTGCCTAATACCAGGATTTGGAATGGAAGAGTAGCGCAGTTGGAACATTTTTCTCTGCTAAGTGTTGGAAAGCATGAAGATCACCCAACCGGATTTCATGAAATTTCTTTTTCATCTGGATGCAAAACAGGCTCCAGCTTCAGAAATGAAGATGTAGCAAACCCCGAAAAACTCAATTTTTTCCAATCTTTTAGTCTTTGTGCGAGCATGCGAAACATGCGACCAGTGAAAGAAGAGCGGCTTCAGAACCCACCAGATCTCAAAGAAGAGAAAGGACATGAGCTTCTTCCTTGTGAAGATGCATATTTAGCAAGAACATGTTTCATATAGCACGAAGGGTGGCGCGCCGTCTGGAACATGTTGTGTGGGCAATACTACAAGGTGTGACGCTGACTCGGTGCTGGAACATGTGTTGGAAATTCACATCGACGTGACTTTAGGTTCGTTAAACTTAGTTTTTTCTGGTTTCCGCCGGGTGGACGGCCCGCTGAAGTGTTTGCTGATCTAGGTGGCTGTGATTGTGAAGGTAATCTTAGTTGTTCTCAGCTGCTGCTGCTGCTGCTGCTGCTGCTGCTGCTGCTGGTGTTGGTGTTGGTGTTGGTGATGGTGGTGGAAATCAGGCGCGCAAGTACTCATGGATGATGATGTTTGATATGAAATGATATGAGGGGCCATCAAGCGGTTACTTAGTTTAGCGCGAAGGGATGGGGATGTATAATGTACATATTTTGGTCGCTCAGCAGGCACAAGCGGCCGTGAGGTTATCCGGCCACACAGACTCTCGATGCGACGATGTGATCCCAGAAGCGAGTCCTCTCGGCCAGAAGGCCAGTGCAAGCAAGCTCAGCTTGCATTGTATCGCAAGGCAAGGAGATCAGAAGTTCAAAATACTCTGCGAGATCCTGCGCTGAGAACGCTGCAAGGAAGACATGACTAAGCACACGCTTGCTTCTGGCTTGCACAACACGCTCCCGGCAGCTTGGATGCTGGACATTATCTAGACCAACATGGATCCTCTGTGCTTCCGCTGCTCTAGACAGTAACATGGAATTCTAGCAAGTTGGGGAGGTTGCGGAAAGTCACAAAGCGCAATAACAAGCAAAAATGGCATTGCCGAATCCTCCGTCGCCCTTGCCCTGTCCTTTTAATTCGCTCTTGCGAACATGGGCATTTTTCGTATCTGGGCCAACATGTATGCTCTGTTCTCTGGGTGCTCTTGTCCGCATGGATGCTCTGTGACGTCATTATCCGTGCCAGCATGGATGCCCTGTGCTTCCTGCGCACTAGTAGCATGGAATTCTAGCAAGGTGATGAGGTTGCAGAAAGTGCATATCGCAAAAACAAAAACAAGCAAAAAACATGCCTTGCCCACAAAGTATCGTTTTTAGACATCATGCCGCAGGACGTATGCTCCTGACAATCGTCTCCATGTGACGGATCAATCCATTGTCGGATAACAGACAGTTAGGTGGTGGGTAGCAGTAGTACTGCTACTGCTACTGCTACTACTGCTGCCGCTAGTACTACTCGTACTGCTACTACTGGGGTCGTCGTAGAAGCGAGGAAGAGTAACCGTGGCAAGATTCATGAGGATGTGTTGCTAGTGGGTTGTTGGAGGCCATGTTCTCAGGCTTGCTGCTGCATAGAATTCGCGCAACTCATGCGTTTGCAACCTCCAAGCGCCATAAGCTCGTGAAGGAGGGTTGTCACAATGACTTGCTTCAAAGCTTGCACGAGCATCGTGCCACGCAATGTACAAACTGTTGCATGTCGGCACCAGAAGCTCGTTTGACGCAACATTAGCAAGGCCATGGATTGAAAAGACTTGGTGAGTTGCCTACATGCAGCCAGCCATTTGTTTCTGGCTGACAGGCGGACAGGACCTTTTAGTGCTCTCCCACTGTGCGGAGCGGAACATCCTTCCTACTAGCAGCGGTGATGGCGATGGCGATGGCGATGCTAAAGCTGTTGGTGATGATTATTTTGTTGTATTTCTTGGATTAACATTAGCGGTACCAGGAAATCCCGCTAGCAGAGGGAATAGGAGCAGTAGAAGTCCTCATGGTTGGCAATGCAGCCGACAGGAAACACAAGAACCATCAGCAACAGCTCAGAGCAATTGGGCTTTGGTGTCCATCAGCAAGAAATTCTCCAAGACTCTCTTCCTTGTGCCCAGGGGTCTTGAAAGAATTCGAGAGTTAGAGCCAAGGCAGGATTGCCACCGGCCGGTTTAAATGCAAAGAACGTGGACAAAACATGCTCTGTTCCAGCCGCCTTTGGCTCAAGCCATACTTGGAAAACGGTTGCCTCACTAGCATAGCTGGCATAGCTGCCAAATACATGGCGGCTTGTCTGCATTGGAAATTTGCGCATGCGACAAGTTGGCGACAAGCACAGCCGCGGGCCAACAGTCGCGTTGCATTTGTTGCATTTGCGTTGCTGGAGGAGGATCAGACAGCGCAGACGGTGCAAGAGCTCACTGATATTATGCAGGAGTCTTCTGTGTTTGCAAGTCCTCTGCCTGAGGGAAGGGTCTGCAGGAGCTCGCCAAGCGTGTCGAAGACCAGGACGTGAGGCAACTGCCTTGGCGCTTGTCAGCTTTTGCGCTGATGTGTAGCATTGACCAGGCTGAAGAGCCAGCAGAAGGAACATGCACTGGAGACTGCAGCTTTGAAGCGCCGGGTGGAGGCTCCCGCTTGAATGCAACATCATGCAACTATCTGAAGCATCCACTTCCAGCGACCTGATTCCATCATGGGAGGAAAGGTGGATTTGGAGGGTGATCAGGGTCGGAAGATACGCAGCGAAGCTGGCTCCGTGCTTTTGCGGTTCTAATTTGAGATGATTCGGCTCAGCGATTCCCCGGACTTGGTACGTGCTACTTGTAGGTGGGGCGCAGTGCCCAACCTTTTGTAGAATGGCTGTTGCCTTGTCCTTTGCCGCTGCTATTCAGGACCTGCAACAAAACAGCTTGAAGGAAGCTAAGACCGTACGTCAGGAGCTGCTGTGGAAGCTCCTGTGGGCGTACCTCTGCCACTGCTCAGCCTCGTGTCCGAGTATGCTGCAGGAGTACGACCTGGCTTTGGACAGCCTCGGTAATCTCATTGAAGACGTGGCACGGAGGGTCGCGCGCGCGGTGCAGCGCTTTGAGGACAGACCTAAGTCTTGCGATTTACAGCTTTCCCGAACTGCTACAAAGCATGAAGTCGCAGGACCTGCAAGGCTGCTTGCTTGCCTGGAGCAGCTTGGTGTTCCGCCGTTTTCTTGCCAGGAGCGTGGTGTTTCCGACTTGGAACGCACTCGCCACTTTCCCAGAAGGAAGTTTGTCGAAGTTGTCGCTTCTAATGTTCTTTGCATGTGAATTTCAGGTGTACAGATCGAGAAGGCGTTCAACAGCTGTGCTGAGGCGAGGCGCCGTTCTTTGGTGCTATTGCCAGGCTCTGGCTACGCAGTCAGCTGTCCTTACCAACAAGATTGCTGCTGGGCTCAGACATTTCAACAGTTTTCCTTTAGCACCGCTTCATCTGGTAACACTGGAGGATGCAGCCATGGCCACAGCGCTGGACCGCTCCAGCCAGGCAAGGGCTTTCAGTGCCAGCTTTGCAACGTCCTCTTCAAGACTGCGCTTCGCAGGCCAGTGAGCATACAGATCACGAGTCTCGAGAAGGTGCGTGCAGCTGCAGCCTCATGGTCTAACAAGTCAGCCTCTGTGTTAAGGAGAAGAGGACCATGGGGGTGGCACTGGAAGTGCTTCCGCCAAAAAACCGCTTCGCGAATTGGAGACGATGCGATCTCGCCCTAGCTGTTGGGCTGTTGGTCCGTTTGCCGTGGCCTGTTTTCCTGCCAACTGTGAGGTCGCGTGGAGACAATTGCGCAGATGCTGCGGACGGAGGCCAGGCTCCAGCGAGCTCCGGAGGGTCGAGGCCGCACAAGAAAGCTTTGCACCTGTGCGAGGCGCTGGCTCAGGCCCAGGCCTTTGAAGCAAAGCTGGCATCGATGGAAGCTGGACATTCTGCCGAAGCCAAGAGGCCATGACCGTTCCAAGCAAACTATGCGCATTTGTCCTGGTGCAGGTGGCAAGGGATGCTGTCATCTTCGTTCATGCAGCTTCAGGAGACCCCTGAGCCCTGAGCGGTACAGGAGCATTGAACATCAGTGTTGTCCACGAGGCTTTACAGCGATCAATCTCCCAACTCGAGAGTGGTTTAGCACCGCTGGGCCCAAAGGCCGAGGGGTTTTGGGATCTTTTCGCGGCACGGTGCAAGTCCAGTCTTTCAGGGTGGCTCTACGGTGTTGCCACAACCACAAGCGCTTGCAAAGCACCTTGGCCCAAAGCGTGGAATAGTCTAGTTGCAGGCTTACGGCAGTTCAATTTTCACCAAGTGAAAGAATGCAGCCTAGCGAGACACATTTGGGTTGCGCGCAAAAGCAGGGATCATACGAAAACATTTGAAAAGAACAGTGTTCTGCCTGAGGTAACATCAGGCAGGCAAAAGCAAAAGAGACCAGTTGGCAAGTTGTGATCCCAAGAAGTACTATACCTCTGTGTGTTTACGGATTTGCCACCAGTCGTCAATTCTGTTCTCATCGAAAGCTCGCCTAGTGCTTGCCTCACTCACGCACCTGTTACATGAGTGCTGTTTGCACGTTTGCGTTCTTGACATGCCCGTCACTCCGTGTTACTCCGTTAATCTTCACCGTGCCGAGGTTGCAGGGCGACGAAGGCAGAGCCGAGAGGGAGCTCAGCGCAGTTGAGAAGCTACGCGAGGTTTGGAAGACCGGGAAATTTGGAGGCGAACCAGGGCCAGCAAGGGCCTTGTGGATTCCGTGCAGGACTTGGCCCGGAAGCTGCGGGGCATCGTCTCGTCTGTGAATGGGGCCCTGGGAGCATTAGAGTCCCAGGCCGAGACCGCAACACGAGGCGCGATCTGCACGCACCAAGCCCTGTTAGAACTTGAGCAAGCCAGGTCAGTCCCCGAAGCGACCACAGAGCCCTGTGACGTTGCCCTTGAATCCCGTCGGCACCATCGAGAAGCAGATGAGGCCATTCCAAAGGCAGACAGATCTTCATAAGCCTTCTTATCTTTATGTCTCCAGTCTGCAAGGCAGAGATCCGAAATGGACCCACGGGTGCGGCACTAGCCGATACAACTGTCTAGCTTCGCTTTTGCACGCCGATCTGCAGGCGCGCTCGCCTCCAAAGGGAATTCAGGTGATGACAGGTCCCCTTGACGTCAAAGAGGACTGACCTTGCACAAGACCAGCACGAGCACATAGAAAAAGGCGAAGCCAAGCTGAGCTCTGGCTGCGCACTTTGGTGGTAAGGGTCAGCAGTCATCTGCCAGTGACATTGATCATACCTGGCAAGGAGCCTGGAAAGCGATCAGTTGCAAACCAAGGCTCTGACCAAAGATGTCCCAGTTCAGCCATTCAGAATCCTGTCTGCCTGTGTTCAAACCTCACCTCAGCTGTGATGGTCTGGTGCAGGCGCGACTTCGTTCCAGGTTGCAAGCCCGATTCCGTAAGAATCCAAGTTCAGGAATCTCTTGTGCCTGATGAGGGATTGGCATTGCATTTGCAAGGAGCAATTCGGCCAGACCTGCAGTCGCGTCCTTGGCTTGCTGCATGCATCAAAGCAACTCGCTGCTCTCAACAGCTTAGAGCTGAGGCCGCACCACCCCGAGAAGACTCGGCTGTGAACCAAGGTCCGCAGAACACAGAAGCACACCGTCGAGAGAAGATGTTCTCGAAGTCTGGAGGCAACGCGCTCGATGCCAGCAGAGTGTCGCTGCTCGGAGCAAGACCTTGACAGTCCTGAAGTGCTTTCCATCATCCTGCAAGCGATCTGCAAGCGATGTTGAGTTTTGCCGCATGTTGCTGAGGCAGGTGCGGAAGAGTTCGTCGTTTCTGGGCCTCGGCGTGCAGGGCACACACCCTGCAGCTGCTGGCACTTCGTTGGCTTCCTGCCGGACCAGAATGTCCAAGCAAGAGCTTTGAATTAGCTTGGTCTGGCTGTTGGTTCAAATGGCAACAGGACAATGCAAGGGGATCTTGACCAGCGTGCCTCAATTGGGGACTTGCAACGAGCTCGCTTGCGACTTAAGGGTGGGTTTTGCATCGCAGCAGTATGCATCCAAGAAAGAGATGTATGCGGGGTCGGGCTCCATGCGTTTCTTGCAGGTGCTGCCGTGCCGCTTCATTCTCAGCTGCGAAAGCTTCATTTTCAGCACGCATGATGCTGCAGCTTCACACGTGATCCCAGCCCAGGACACCAATGGCAGCGCATGCTCAGCATGTGATGCCGGGGCACTCGCACATGCATCCGCAAGTGCATCCTCACATGCAGCAGGCACGTCGCCGCTTGAACAGCAGGTCTATAGTGGGACCATGACAATATGTGACAATCACACAGTTGTCATCCTTCCAAATGCACGATAATCGATCAAAGTCCTGCTGCAGCTGATCCATGACCGTTCTGAGAACGGGCCAACACATTCTAGCACAACAACTTTGCACGCTATCAACAGCGGTACTTCTTTGTATCAATCTGTGTGACATCCGCGCCAATTGGCTGCCCAGCCCAACTTCTAGAGCAGGAGTGCCACGAGCCATGAGCTGTAAGCATCAGCATCCTCAGCATGGTGAATCAGCAATCTTGGTGGTGCAAGGCAATCACAGGACTCCTTGCGCTGTCGGCTTCCTGCGTCTCTAGGATCTGAAAGCTGGTCAGGTCCGCAAGGTTCCGATGCAAGTGCGATCTGGCTACACTTCCCCGCACTACCAGGCAGGATAGGCAGATGCTCTGATTTGCTTTGGGGAGTCATCTCTTTCGAGCCGGTGCCCAGGCACGAAGCCCTTTTCCGAACGGGACCCACATCCAGATCTGAACGTCTACAGTCTACTGATCCGTTCTTTGTCGAAGTCGTGCCATGGGGTGTTTTCACCCATAGCATCCCATAGCTAGGTTGGGGAGGTATTGCAAGCCAAACCAGGTTCAGACATCGCCCTACCTCCCCAAGAGGCTTTTGGGCAGTGCGTGTGGCAGATTTTCATTTGCATCCACAAGAGGGAGCAAGTGCGACCGTTCTCACTCAGCTGTCGGATCTGTCGGTCCCAACCGCCCGGCCCATCCACTGAAACGGTAAGAGCACGTGCAGCACATTCGCAGTGCTTGAGGAAACGCACCGTCAGCTGTGTGTTTTCAGAGTAGATTCGTTTCAATTCCTTACCTCAGCTTTACTGCCTTATGCTGAGATGCATGAATTGCCTAAGTCGGCCTGGTCCTAAAGTGCATCACGCTCGAGCGTTGTCAAGGCACGTCAGGGCTTACATGCCCAGGCATATCTTCCGGAAATATATGTGAAACGGGGCCAGCAAGAAGGTGCACAGGGACCTGAGTGCTTAAACCTGCGCTCTGAAGGTGACAATGGCTGCAGCTGGATAGCTTACCATGACACAAACGGTGTCCCGGAACCATTCACGAATTGTAGCGACAAAAAGGCTCACACAGCACTGGCAAAAATTTGGTACAAGTAGCTTGAATTTAAATCTTTGCGCGCTCTTCCCGAGACGTTGGGCTCAAGCTTTAACTCCGAGAGCGCTAGAAGCTGCCAGCAGTCGACGGCATCAGCATGCCGCACCAGACGCTGAGGTATGCCATGATCGGAGGCGGCCAGGGGTCGTGGATCGGTGAAGCACACCGGAAGGCCTTGGCTTTGGATGGAACTGCGAGGCTGGTCGCAGGCTGCTTCTCATCCAGCCGCGAGCGATCTCTGGCCTTTGGGTTGGAGTTGGGTTTGACGAATGAATCCCGCATATACGGCTCGGCTGCAGAACTGGCAGAGGCTGAAGCAGCTCTTGGAGACCTGAAGCCACACTTCGTGGTCATCTGCACACCGAATCGATGCCACTTGGAGCAGATAAGCCTGCTTGCAGCTAAGGGCTTTCCGGTAGTTTGTGATAAGCCGCTCTGTGAGACCCTGGCGGAGGGGAAGCAGGCACTTGAGGCTCTGGGCTCGGGATTGCTTGCATTGACCCACTGCTATGCAGGCTACGCCATGATCAAGGAGGCTAGGTCATTGGTAACAAAAGGACGCCTCGGAACACTGCGCAAGGTGGTCGTTGAGTATCCGCAGGGTTGGCTGGTGCCAGAAGAGGGCAAGCCATCGATGAGCGCTTCAAGCGGCGTCTCCAGCATGGTTGATGTGGGCACACATGCAGAGCACCTTGCTCGGTATGTTACAGGCCTGGAAGCTAAGGAGGTCTTTGCTGACGTTTCCAGCTTTGTAGCAGGTGCCCCCCGAACACCGGATGACTTCAACGTTCTAGTACGCTATGAGGGTGGTCAACGTGGAGTGCTGATCGCCTCGCAGTCCTCGTCAGGCGAGCAGAACTGCCTACGCTTGCGGGTATACGGCTCGGAGGGCAGCCTCGACTGGATGCAGGAGGAGCCTAATGTGCTGACCATGCGCCTTCGTGACCAGCCGGTGCAGACACTGCACAGAGGGCAGCCGTACCTGTGTGAAGAGGCTCGTTCTTGTTCACGCTTGCCTCCTGGGCATCCAGAAGGTTACCTGGAAGCCTTCGCTAACATCTACCGCAGTTTTGCTGCAGCAGTGTTGGCACGTGAGCGTGGCACTGATCTCAAAGTGGATTTTCCCACGGCTGCTGATGGCATAGCCAGTTTGGCTTTCGTGGAGGCAGTTTCCAAGAGTGCTGAGACAGGAACTTGGGTTCATGTGTAGCAGACGCTTTTTGCAAAAGTTTTAGAACACCTTTAAGGATCCTTTTAACTTTGGCAGGCAAAAGCTGGTCACTTGGGCTGGATATGCTTGCCGTTTGCTGTGTACAGAAGCTTGAGCAGAGAAAAAGAGACTGCTTTTTGCATCGCAAGCTTTGTTGCTTCACACACCTTCACACCTGTTTTGCTGGCTGAAGCCTCCGAATTTCATTGGATTGATGCCGAGGGCATGATCTGCAAGGCTGACTGCAACTGTCTTACTGGCTCCAAGCGAAGCTGTGTAGAGTAAAGGCCACATGTTGCCAACACTGCAGGTCGAGCCAGGTTGCAATCCGACCCACCCTACAGAATAATGAAAACAAACAGTTGTCCAGCAAGTGGGATGAGAACCTCTTCCTGTACCCCTAGTTGCCATGATCCTCCAGTCAGCTGGCGCCTCAATCTTGACTTGTAGGCAGCTTTTTTCTTGGCGGGTAACTTGCACAGGAGATTCATTGATGTAAGCTGTAGGTGTTGGCTACCGGCAATAGTCAGCCAGATGATGATACTCTCCTTGCAGGTTCCAACTGAAGACTACGACGAGGAGGAGAATGGCCTTGTATCTAACAGCCCTCGTCCGCCCGCCAAAAGGACAGTGGTGTGAAGAGTATTCAAGCTCCAGACTCTTCAGCCTGTTTAGACTTCAGCCCTGCATCTTGATAGGAAGCTCCCGCTCAAAGCACGGCGCCTCTTGGCAGAAACTGAATGTGTGCTGTGCGAGAGAGTTGCGAGAGCCGAAATGCCCGTGTCTGCCTTTTATCCCACCCAGAATCAGGGGTGACAGCAGCGGACCACCGAATACCGGAGGAGGATGAGGCGGGGATGCCCAGCGAGCTTGCTGTTTCTTCTGCCGGGCTGGATCCATTTGGGCCCAAACGTGCGGAATAAGACGTGAGATAATGCAAGGGTTTTTGCCTAGATGTGCCAGGGCTTGATGTTGATTGACAGGTCAGCTGGAAGTTGGTGGCCCTTGGCATCTGCTGTTTCCTTGGAGTTGTAGCTGTTGGCGCATCGCTGGCAGTGCTCTCGCGGCTGGGACAGGATGCTGAAGGGGGTTTGCAGGGCACCCTGGGCAATGGTGCCACCGGCGTGAAGCCAGTGCTGGCTGTTTTTGGCTTCACAATTGGAGAAGAAAGCCTGGAGCATGCATTGCCTACCAATAATGCAGTAGCCTGGGTGGCTGCCAGCCTTCTCAAGGATCATGGCCACTTGTTGCTGTCCCCGTACAGCCCAGCACAGGCGGCCTTTGCCTTCGAAGGTGCTGGTATTCCTGATGGCAACCTGGTGCAGAGCTGGCGCCCTGCTCCTAGAGCTCCCAGGCTCCTCCGGGCCAAAGAGCCCCCGAACCCGCGAAGCTTATTGCGATGCTCAGCAGGCACTTACTGGACTTAGCACTTTCATCTCTGCCTCCCGCGGCCATTCGCCCCGCCGTCAATTGATTGCAAGGAGCCGTGGTAGTCGGGCCGATCTCGGAGATCCTTCAGGAGAGCTTGCCTTGTGCTCTGCTCTCCGCATGTCTGTCACAGGTTTTGTAGGCAGTTGTTCTTGCCTGGGCCTGGATGTGACTGACAATAACATTTGTACATGCATGCTGCATGACCATTCAGCTGACGTCGGAGAAGGCAGATATCCATGCCAGGATCTTCGCCATTTGCAGCCGTTTCCTCTCATATGGGGTAATCATGACAAGTTTGGCCTTGTCATAATCGCCAAGACACATGTAGCAATTTGCGGTTTTTGCAGACTGTGATGATAGAGATGGCGGCGCAAAGTGTTGGGGCAGCCATTGAAGAAGCTGTGCGGCTCCGCATCATAGGCAGATGTCGTGGACCACTATCACTAACTGAGTTGTTCTATTTGGGTTCCCGTGGAGGATTAGGCATGCCATTGCGCTTCATGTCACAGGCATTCACATTCATAATAGCTCCACGCTTTTGCAACTCTTGAGCATAGGAAGAGTTGCGTCTGTGGGACCCTCTGCCGTAAAATGCTGCTGTCCAGCAAGGCTGGCCTCTCTCACCTCTCTGCGTTTTAAGGAAGGCGGTCGATGGAAGAGTGCCGTCGCACATCCCGCTTGCAAAGAGCAATCCACGCGAGTACTGGCGGAGGGTCAGGACTAAGGGAGAAAATGTCAAACCCACAATGAAGGGCTAACGACTTCTGCTGTAGCAGCCTACTTCCGAGTTGCAGAGCAGGTCCGGAAAAAGTCCCAAACCTGCGTATTGGAGGACTTTGTACCGAAGTTCTCTGGTTGCCTGGATTTTAGTATTTCTGCTACTTCTGCCTTTGCGTTGGCTCAATGCTAATCACATTCTAGAGGCACCTTGACCAAATTCGAGGCTGTGATTGTGGGCAACATCCTGGAATGGTATGACTGGACCGTGTTTGGATATATGCAGGACATCTTGAAGGATGTCTTTGTCTCTGGCAGCGGCCAGCAGGCGGTAGCTTGACTCCCCTGTGAATTAAGTATCTGAATGTGCATGTGGGTGCTTTTGGAGGCATGGCTCCTTTTCGCGGTGCCCTTCTTGGCGCGGCCATTTGGCAGCCTGGTCTTTGGCTGGACCGGGTGGCATTGCGTGGGTTTGGATGGCCGTGCAGAATTTCCAGATGCAAGATGCTCCGATTTGCCAGGATCGGCGACACATGTGGTCGCGCATTGTCGCTGAATCTCAACCCGAAGATATAAATGCTTGGGTGCATGATGCCAAAGTAGACTTTCGTGAGAGAGCTCCTCAGGCAACTGGCCATTTGGGGCATGGCTGTGGCAACAGCATTGCAGGGCTGCCTAGTACCCTCACTTCCAGGACCCTCTGGGAGTTGAAGGAGATCCGACAAATCTGAGCGACTCAACCCTCTTTGCCAGCTTCCAGGAATCACTTGGATACTGGCCGCCCTGCGGCTTGTTACAGGCTTATCCGCTGGTGCCTGGGCGTGATTCGTGGTGCAATTTTGCCGAAACAAGTTCAGCAAGGGCTACAGCCTTACAGGCGGGGAGTCTGCCGGGGTAAACACCTACATGTCCGAGTTTGGTGAGGAGGCGGGAGTACAGGCAGTGCAGGTAGCGCAGGTAGCCTTGGGCCCGGCAGTAGCGCACTCATTCCCTTGATGTTGACCATCAGGGACGGGAGCACACACTAGCAGCCGCCATTGGCGTGAACAATGTCAGAAGCTCAACCGTCCATGGACTAGTGGTGGTCCGGTGTCTCTGTCCACAGTTTCCTCAGTACGGTGCTTGTTTTGGGGATTGCTGACGTCCCATTGGTTGAAGGTCAGTGGTTCCCTAGCCTTCTTCTTGGCCAACGCTGTGTCCTTGGCAGTGCATCAGCTCCCTCGCGAGACTCAGCTGGTGTCCTGGCGACAGACAAGCGAAGGGCCGAGAACAGGATTAGAACAGGATGAACATGGATGAGCGGAGTATGAACGGTGTGCACCTTGGGTGACGTGAGGGGAAGCAGCCGCTTCGGCTGAGGCCTGGGGCTGGCGCATCCCGTTTCTGCTGGCAGCGCCGCTGGGGGTCGTCTCTGCTGCACGGTCGCAGAAACATGCGGAGCAGATCTGGGCAGAACACTCCTTTTAGAGCTTGAACGTCAGGTACTGCTGCGTCGTGGCATCAAGGAAACGTCGCAGTTCCAACGGACCCTTGGGATGGAAAGTTGTTCTGCTTTGCTCACCGCTCCCCTTCATTACTTTCGCTTCCTTCAAGGAAGCGCAACGAGGATCTCTCATGCCAAACGGCGGCCGGCATCATTCCAGACCTGCAGGACCTTTCGTATTGCTTCTGATTCAGAGTCCCTGTAGTATTCAGAAGGCTGGCGGACAGCTGTAGCTTCAACTTTGAATGCAGAGAGCCTCGAGGACAGCTGCGGGGAGAGTTGCGACGACAGTCACGGGCGCAGCTCAGAGGACAGCATTGAGGAGAGCCTTCGCGTTGCTTTGAATCACATGCCCGACTGTGCATCATTGTAATCCTACTGCCTGGTTGCTTGCAGCCACATTGCCTTCTCCTGATCCGCTTACCGGCGGCACGCGCTTCGAACTCCTCCTGTGCCTTATTGTGTTGCCTCTCTGGTTGCTAGTGCCCTCAGGACTCTGAGCAGCAAAAGCCGCCCAGGTGTGGTGGGAGGGACCGATTTTCTGGAGTCCATGTGCTGGGCGATGGGCGGAAATATCTGTCAACCAGCGACTCGAGAGGCCCTCAGCCTCACTTCGCAGACTTCGCACCTTTGCCAGTCGTGCAGTTCTGGCTGCGTTGGTCTTGGCAGCAGTTTTTTGGCTCTTACTGGGGGCTTGAAGCGGATCCTCAGGAGCTTTGAGCGTGGGGAGAGTTTGGATGTGCTTACAGTGATTGCACGTGCACTCAGGTCACCAGCTGCAATTATCTTCCAATCTACCTTGTGTCCTGGTTGGAAGAGGCAAGCATTGAGCGCTTTACCCCGCTCAGCTATGGAAGGCTGTTCAGTTGTTCTTACGTATCGGCTTGATTGAGCTGGTATCAAGTGCACAGAAAATTCATTCATTCATTCAACAGCACAGAGATCCAGAGAAGCTTGCCCTGTTGGTGCTTGTTTAGAGGGAGCGAATGTTGCAAAATCTTGACACTACATTGACCCTACCCTAGCCTGGGCAGCACGGTCAGTTGGTGTTGAGCCACAGAAGCCACCTGAGCCTGCTTAGCTTGGTCTGGCATTGTGGCCTTTTTTGTAGGCCGGGCTCCAGCCCTCCGTGGCTTTGAGCATTGCAGCCGCTGCAAAGGCCACCGTGTTCAGAGTTGCATTCCGTCTGAGAGACACGAAGCATGTGAGAGCATGCAGCATGTAGTGATTTGTCTCTGAGTCTCTGAGTCTCTGAGGTGACCCAGGTCCTGGCAACGCTTCCAGTGTCTTTTGCAGCAGATCGTGCAGGGACTGTCTCAGTGGCCCGCCCATGCTTGAACACTTTTGTTACGTTGGCCAACTTGAGAGTTTACCCAATTGATTCGAATTCCTGATTAGTGCAACTTTCGTAGGTCCTCGAATCAGCTCTAACAGGTCTTCGGATCGGCACTCCTATTCAAATTTTCGAAGCAGCTCTGTTATTCTCCTTCTAAGCAACCAAGTAAGATTCTTAAACCTTAAGCTTTTCAAATCTGAGTTTGTGATCGAGCAAGACCTTGCTATTCTCCGAAGGGGGTAGAACATGAATTACTTTTCATTACAGGCCGTTTTGACTGCAAAGGGGTGCCTTGCCTATAAAGTGCTCTTGCACCCCAAATCTGGCCCAAAACACTCTTGAAATCTGATTGGCTTAGGGCTGGATTTTCGCTGACTTCCTGTGCCTGCTACTTTGTGGGAATTTGTCTTGAGGTCATGATGTGCGGTGGTGCAGCAACTGGCGTGTTCGCAGTGCCTTTCTTGTGGTTGCTTGACATCTGTTCTCGTTAGATGCCGGCCACTGAGCGTTTCCAGATGCCGAAGTCTAGCCCCGGAATCGAGGTTTGTAGGCGAGACCTCTCACTGGCCGGGCTATATCACTGCGTTCCTCGTGTTGGGCTTCCTGCTACCAGCCTCCTGGCAAACAAGCCCCCCTTGCATGAAAAGTACCAACTGGCTAGAATTTACTTTGCTGGTTTGTTAGGGCAATGAGTCAATCACAAAAGCAACGCGCCTGGCAGAACAATTGATGTGCGAGGCTCAGCAGCTCAAGTCCAACAATCCTGACTAATGTTCAGCAAGAGAAAGCAACAAGATTTCAATACAACACAGGCAGCTAGCATATTAATTGATATTTACTCGGTTTTGCACTGACCTAGTTCTGCATGTACTTACGGACTCAAGGCAGTTCCAGGCTTGTAACAGATAGGGCACGGTATGCCTTGAACTGGCTTGGCCCCAAACATGGGGCCGAGCACCTTGGTGCTGGTGTCGCTGCTGCGGCCCGTGGTGGACGCGGTTCCGCTGGCAGCTTACACTATTGAGGCTCATTTTTTGGGCACGAGCAGCATGTGGGCCATGTGGGACTGTGTGTTCGGGAGTAAAGAAGCTAAATTTGCCGGGCCCGACCCCTGAATCTCCAGTGTAACCGCTTGGTAGGCGCGCTTTCCCCATCGCTCGGATTGTTTCACAGAGGGCCTCGTGCTGAATGGCAGCGAGGTGCGCATCGCCTAGCATGGAGTTCTTGTCCACGCTGCAGACATGTGCAAGAGATGAAGAGTGCAACTCGATGCGATTTGCATTGGATCGGAGGTCTTGGAGTCGTGTGGCCTCACAGGCAAATCAGTCTTGAGGCGACTCGTGTTCTGCTACCTCTGAGTCCTAGCAGAGTCATGCAGCGGATGATGCGGTCCTGCATGGTTGCATTCTGGGCTGCTAGTTGCTAGTTGGAGTTGTGATGTGATGGCTTTCTCAAGTCTCAAGGGTCATCCAAGAAAGTTTACGTACACCAGGAATTCAGGCGGCAGGCTGCTCACGGGGAAATTCGGCAGGGAAACCTATGTGCTTGGGCAGCCATCTCTGCAAATGCAGAAAAGTGCATTGTGGTCGTGAATTGGACTGAAGCGCCTCGTGTGCGCCCCTTTCCGCAGTACAGAGATGTTAGAACCTTGCAGATCACTGCATAACTGCGAGGCGCTACGACCTGAGCAGTGGCCAGACCAAAAAGGAGGCTTCGTCAACGAACAAATCCAACACAACCTCTCAGAGTTTTAGCCTGGCAGGTGCGCTTGGACCATAAGTACTTCGGTGAGGGCACCGTTGAGCTGAATGGCTCACTGTTGCTTGGCTTTCCTTGCCCGAGGTGCAGAATCCGAAGCATCTGTTCAAGCTAAGGTTCGTTCTGACATATCAGCACCGAGAGATGCTGGAGTACGATTCAAAAACCTTACAGGTCAAAAGGGCTCACCCCTTTCCGTATGGCGAAGGCTGGGGCCTCACCACTGACGGCTGCGATCTGATTGCGACCACTGGCTCTTCATACCTCTTCCGCCTGCGCAGGGCGCAGGATGGAGAGTTCAAGCTAGTTAGCAAGGTCTTGGTTAAGCATGATGGAAAAAGCTTGCACATGTTGAACGAAGTGGAGTACATCACGCCTAAACTCTGGGTGAACGAGTGGATTACAAACCGGATCTGGAGAGTAGACCCCATGACGGGCAATTGCGAGAAGACAATTGACATCGGTCAGCTTCACCCCTGGCAAGGACAGGCGACTCCCAACGGCATTGCATATTCTACAGCTTTTGGGAAAGATGCCTTGCTGGTCACCGGGAAGCTATGGCCGCAGATGTTTTCTTTGCGAATGACCGCTCTGGACTTGTGTGGAGGTAGTCAGCCATTACCAGACGGGCACTGTGCAAACGCACCGCCCTCGCTGTGCCATGATCCTCCACCAGCCAGGCCTGGGGCATCAACAGCACCCGCCGCCGCGGCCGCCATAACAGAGAAGGTGACAAGGCCTGCCCTGGTGAAAGGATTCACCATGCCCACGACCCCGCACCCCAGCATCCCCAAGGCTGTGCTGCCGGAAAAGCAGGGTGTTGCAAGTGCAGTTAGTATGGGACTTTTCAGCCGGACACCAGTGGTGCCGGTGCCAAGCCTCCCTTTCGGATTCAGCGCTGCCTTGAGCCTGCTCGGGGCCTGCATGTTTCTTGCTGCCCTTGCATCGGGCTTGCTGATCCGTTACATGCGGCGTCGTCAGCGAGACACGCTGCATCGGCAAGTGGAGTCTGAATCTGACGGAGGCTAAGCCTGCGGCTAAGCAGCACCAACAGCAACCTTGGCAAATCTCTTTCCCGCACATGTTCATCTGCTTGGATGCGAACCCAGAGTCTTTGCAAAATCACGGCGCAAAAACTAATTGCATGCCCTTGCTTGCTTCAAGACGTTTGGGAGGTTAGTTCAGTTGCAATGAAGGATGCGTGCCATGCTGTCAGGTTTTCATCAGCATCTACCTGGTGCCCTCGCCACTTCATATGATAATGGAACAACTCTCCAAGCAAACTCATGCTGTCGGAAGCTGAAAGCCAAGGCCCCTTTTCATGACTTCGCTATTCCCGATGGAGCAGCGGGGCCGCGGGGCCGGGCTCTGCCCCTCGGACACTGTGGACTGGTTTGTTGGATTTTGTTGGTCATGATAATCGTTGTCGTACTGCCTGCAACAAGAGCAAAAATCTTTTTGATCACATTGGTGGTGTAGCGGGAAGTGTGCCCAAAGCTGCTCTTCCTTCACAGCCAGGCCTGGGACTGGCATCCGTGGTGGCCGGCCTGATGCCAGCAGCGGCGCGAGGGGATATGAGGGTTGAGGGGTTCAAAGGTTTTTCAACTCTTCATAATAAGGTCTCAGACATTCCCAGACTGTCAGAGGCGTCTTCGCTCGCAAAGCACGGCTACCTCTGGCCAGGCCAGCTGGTTTCTGCAGCGCATTAGTTGGAAACATGCATCTGGCAGGTGCTCTCATCTCTTTCTTGATTCTGCCCTCCCTGCTGCTCCTCGCCTGCGCGAAGCGAGCGGCGGCCCGCGGGCATCTCACCGTCTTCCAGCGGCCCTGGCTGTTTTGAGCCACAAAGACATGCGGGTCGCAGGAAGGTTGCATTACAAACCGCCGCAAAGCCGGTGCTGCCATCTCGGCCGTCCGGGCCAACAAGCGCTTCGCTGGCTCCAGCAGATGATTGTAAACGGCAGGGCAAAAGCGTTGCGGGCTTCAGTAGTATAACCTAGTAGGAACCCTCGCGATATCCGAAGATCTGCAGTTGAGCGTCTGAAATCCCAGATTTTGAGGAACAATCCTGAACACTCTGACCGTTGAATTCTGAAGCAGCTGAGATCAATGCGTGTACTGTGCAAGCTTTTTTGAGCTTCAATCCCTGCAGAAGCAGCACGGCCTCGTCGCGCCGGCGGTCAGGGCCACCAGTGCACAGGACTGGGCTTCTAAGCAAAGGCTCAACATCAGTCGCATGTTTTTCATGGTTGTGCAGACCGCTGCGGATGCCTTTCTGGACCTCCGACAAATCCTTCACGAGGCAAGGCTTGCAGGAGATGATTCTGGCTTTGGGGACTATCGTTTTCTCTTTTGTGAACAAAGGCTTGGTGAGGGTTGTTCCCAAGATCAGTAAAGGCTGGCGGCGGCTCAGAGGATGGTGCAACAGAGGTGCACCGTTGAGACTGCAGAGTTTCTTCGAGCAAACAGGAAAGGCAGACGTACTAGTGTTTGCTTTGAAGGCGCACTTGGTCCTTGTCGCGCATCCGCACCAGTTGCCTTACCTAGCTTTGCCATGGCCTCGCACTGATGCATCAGAGGAGGGTCAGGATTGCGGAATGCATGAGGATTGCTGTCGCCTCGGGCTTTCGGAAGGTTGCCCTGCTCGACCCAAAGTGACTGGCTGAGATGCAAACTTTCATTCCCATGAGGAAACTGTCCACTTTCTAGTACTCCAAAGTTTCTAAGGCTCTTTGAAGCTGTGCCCTGGCAGACCTTTGGTGCCTGTCCCAGACATTCCTTCAAGATGACATTTGCAGCAGCTTCAGGCTGAGCTCTTTGCTGGATTTCAACTACAGGAACATTTGCCGGGCTTGCGTAATACTACCACCACAGATGTTCCAATACTCCCGCTTGACCCTGGCCATACAACACCGCTACTAGCCTGATACAAGTACCCGCATAGATTCACATAGAATCAAGGTGGTGGCATCATCCCGATATGGTGAATGCATCTGCTGCTTCTGGAAGCCCTCATGTCCGTTCAAGCTTCAATCTTCCTGTTTTTGCCGTCATGACGTGCAGCTACCCCAGTTGTAAAGGAACGTGATCTCTGACCCTCTTGATTTCGGATACGTGAGAGGCCCATCACAGTAGATCCAGGCCGCTCACTAGAGATACTTGAGCTTGAAGAGTTTGTTTCGTATGTGTATATAGATACATATATATATATATGAGCCCGATACCTTTTGGGTTTATTTAACCACGATTGTGTATTTACTATCATAAAACCTATTCTAACTTTAAATATAATAGTGTCTGCATGCATCATAATATTACACTCTTGTTTTTGTTTCAGGATTTCGCGTAACAGCACTCATAGTAAATTGGACTCATGGTACTTTATCGAATACATATGCATCCATCAGAAATCTAACAGAAGCAAATGCATCACATGCAGTCCGAATCTTGGGAAAGTACTAATTCTGTTTCTTGTGCATATGCAAGTAATATGGTGCACGTCTTGGCTGTGTGTAAACAGCTTTCAACCTGCACGACATCATCACGCCACTACGCGATGCGCATGCACATGAGACATGTTGATTAAATCAAGTTTTTCTAATCGATTATATTCATATGACATACGCATTTCCTTTCGCACATGCCAAATGTATATATGAGGAAAAAATTAAGTACATCAAACGTGCGACGACATTGTTAGTAATTTCAGTACATTTTTACATTTTTACGTACTATCACGAAAACTCATGCATTTTTTATAATATATGCATATATATACAAGAACCGCGAGAAAGTTGTACATCCTGCATACAACATCTTTTAATGCAGTGTAGGACACATCTCTACACATAGCATAATATATTGCATCATCATATAGCTGTATATCACTTTCATTTTACGGAGGAATAACTGAGTCGCACTACCCTCACATTACTAAATATTATTGTTATTTCGAATATTTTATAACTAAGACTTGATGTAGAACATGCATTATTCTACATAGGATGTTAATATCTTAATCATTCAAAACTATAATGTCAATAGTATATATATATATACATATATATATATATATATTTGACGCAGTAACCCATGGTACTGCATATGTATCACACACAATACATTGATAAGTTGTTGGTGAACAAACACATTTATCAGTTGTAATAATGGTCACTGTGTTATCATTTCTTATAAGCCTAGATGTATAACTCAATTCTTGTACATATCCGCATGATAGTAATCTTGTTTTCTTACATTAAGTGAAACTCTTTCTTATTCAGTACAATGCATGGTTGCATCCTTACTGGTTTTTAGTGATATATATACATAGACTATACAAGATATGAGCAGGTCATACAGAAGGTATTCTATGTTCTATCATGTAGACTATAACTTATTATATAATGTATTCTATACGACATCCTATAGAGACATTCCACAGGGCATACTGAATCCCCTATATACAATGTTTCCTATTCACCCTTCATCTACCATGGAATACCTTACAAAACACTCTATTCAAGAGGTTATCAAATACCCTATAGAATGCCATAACGCTCCATGAATACATGTCAAACAGAATACTTCCTGGGATATTTTATAGAATATCCTTCAAAATACGTTATAGAGTACTATATACAGTCTATATACCCTATGTATACCTTATATAATACCATGTGGAATACCCTATAGAATAACTTGTGGAATACTGCGTATTTATGACATCCCCTGTATACCTTGTGCATACCCTCCAGAATGTCCTGTGGAGTAGTCTGTATATAAAGATTTCTATATGCAAAATCCGAAGTGTTACAAGATCTATGGATTCCTCTGCTAAATTGTAAGTTAGTGAAT